TTCCTTTTTTCTACAAATACATACTCTAAAATAAATTCTTTTACAATGATTTAAAATATTTTGAATAGTCTAAATATATGTTTAATAATCAAAGAAGCTTACTCAAAATCATTTTCGCCACTGGAAGAAGTTTGGGATGCTGCACTCCATTTATTTTTGCATCAACACTTATTTTTTCCCCCTTCTTCCTCTGTCAAAATGCTGTGTAAGTAGAATTCCCCAGTTTTGCCTTTTGAAAGGCTGACGTGAACAAGGCCACAGCGCTGGGCCTGCAAAATTTGAGGCCTTTTGTTACAGGTAATTACCATCTGAGGCCATGAGATAGTTGGGTATGGAGTGCGAGTTTAAGGTGGAGGAATTGCCACCTAGTGCGATTTACCGGGGATCGGGAATCGTTCTTTGCTTTACAAAAGAGATTCAGATTCCACCGGTGGTGTTTTTGGTTACAGAGTGAATTTTTAAAGGAGTTTCTAATCCAGTAGGAAGGCTGAAGATTACTATGCTGTCTGCTTTCAGGCTCTGTAATATTTTTAGCACTTCTGCTTGATCACTGTAACACAAGTAATTTCATTTCAGTCTACTCAGACGATGAAAAGAATGTAATGGTTTTGTCTGAAAAACTCATGCGACTTTACACACGTCAGAAATGCTTTATTGTTCTGCGGTGTCTCAGGAAAATGAATGAAATGTCATCTCAGGGATGGAAACTTTATAAAACCAATTTGCTGTATTAACAAAGCTGGCTGAGACAGTAGGGATGCTTTGGGTAAGGAGTAAGCAGTAGTGGAAATATGTTTGTTGCAACTTGTTAGTTCTCTGGGCTTGTAAAAGTAAATCTAGGGGAAAAATTACAGTGTTAAAAATGCAAGAAGTATTGGGGCTTAATTACTTTACAGGAAAAAAAAAAAAACCTGCAGGGAGGATAACGTGTAATACCCAACTGCTTTCCTAGAGGGTTGACTGAACATTTGTTTAATTTGGGACTATTATGATCATATTGTATGTAGAAAATAGAGTGGCAGTTGGATCCAGCGATGATCTTGTCAGATCTGAAAGAGCCGTACGTACGTGTTCGGTGTAAGGAGGTGTCACGGGGTGTTGTTTTGGGAAATACACCTGCATTCCTACTGCAAATGCATGTCCTGTGAGTTTTCATGGAAATGCGTCTCATACATAAATTACTCCAAAGTAATACTGGAGGAACGGGTTTTTGGTGCTGGTTTTAACAGTGGAAGGGGCAGATTCTGGAACAGCAAGCCAAAGTCTGTCCCAATTCTTACCTTTTAGATAAGAATCATTAGGAACCTTTTAGGAAGAATCGTTAATATGTGTTGTTGCTTTTTCTCTTGAATTCAGGTTGTGAAAGGCCTTACCTATTTGTGGAGTCTAAAGATTTTACACAGAGGTGAGTAACAGATGTTTTCTGCTTCCAGTGAAATACCGTATTATTTTATTTTAACCACACTTTCTACCCAGACAGTAGCCCACACTGACATCTGGCTTGATTCCAGCGGAGTAACGCAGTCCGAACCTCACTCATTAGCTTAGCAGATTTTCTGATAAAATACGTTTACTGCTCTTCGCTTTTATTGGCCTCCCTCCTCCTCAAGGAAAAAGAGAGAAATTAATTTTATAGAGATTTAGATGCTTTGGGTTACAAACAGGTGCCCAGTGGAAAAATCAGCAAGGAAAATCAGATGTTTGACTAGTATTGAAAATAGATGATAATGAATTTTCTTATAGACTTCAGAAATCTCACGTGAGAGCTACAAGCGTTGCTAGAGCCTTGGATATCTCCAGCTGTGGCCCACTGTCCTCTAACATGGTCATGAATAATTAAAGCAACTTTAAACCTGCTTGGACATAAGCCATTTTTGAGTTTTGCTGTTTAATCTCCTTCCTGAAGCTAACTTGTATTTTTTTTAGACTTCTCATTTATTTCTTGCTTTTTAATGGTGTTACATTTTGTTTTAAAAAAAAAATATCTCTTGTGGTGGGTTAATGTAGATATATTAGGACTTTCAGAACCAGTGTCAGTTCTGGAAACAGCGGACAGGGCTGTTTAAAGAACAAAGAAGCCCTTCCCCCTAAACCACCACTACCACCCCCCCCAACAGAAAAAAGGAAAGAGAAACTCATTACATTTATAATGTTTCTAAAGTGTCTGAAAGTAACTGCTCTGGTTCCTAATGTTGGTAACAATACTGTTTAATTTAACCCATCTGCTCACTCAGCCCGTGTGCACAGTTGGAGCATGCAGTAACCGACATCATTTGTGATTGAAAGAGAAGTGGAAAGTAGAGAGAACATAGAAAATTTCAAGTTGCAAACCGAATAGGTCAGACCGTTTTTTCTGGGGCGCTTAGCTTTGGAGTGGCTGAGGAGCGGGTGCGAGGCTCTGAGTGATGAGAAGTGCCGGGGTGGGTGTCCGGTGTCCTGCTGGGATCGACGCAAGGTGTTGGGCACCTCTGCAGAGGCATCCCGAAATGTGTGCACTGAGTGGGGACAACAAGCTCATAGGGAACACTCGTTGCCAGGATGTATTGAGGTCCTGCCCCTCCTTGGAGCTTAGGCTCAGGCTTTTGGGGAGAGTTGGTAACAGAGGAGGAGATTGGTGCTTTGTGTAACAGCCCAGGGAGCATCTGTAACAGGACATAGGCTTCCATTCCTCCTGGATCTCACAGCATCTCCTTCCTAGGAGATTGCTCTGATGTAGGATCTCTCTCCGGGGTGGGAGAATGAGGGCTGTGGCCAGAAGAATGAGTAGAGGTCAAGTAAGAACTTGGCTTTGTTATCCCCATCAGAGAGTGAGTGAAATGCTGAGATGTATATGACCCTACGATGTCACTGGATTAAAACAACCCAGAGTCCATGACCAAGTCGGTGCAGACACAGGTTACCAAGGAGGCTTTGTTTCTGGTGGTGGTTTAAACATTTCACTGTAATGGTGCCTGATTTCACAGCTCCATCCACTCTCGGCAAAAGGATGAGCAGTCTAGGTGCCAGAGCTGCCAACGGCGGTTGTCAGAATAGGTATGAAAGAAAAAGCAGCTGGAGCATCCGTGCCTGGGTGTTGCTCTGCAGATACAGTCTTACACGGTCCTTGCCGTGGGTTTGTAACACCTGAAAAGAAAAAGCAGGTTTGAATTTTTTTTTCTTTCATTTTTAATATTTTCCTTAAAGATTCTGGCCACCTGTTGAATGTGGTTTGGATTACGGTCATTTTGGCATTATGGTCAGGCATAAATACTCCAAGTCTAACATTTCATTGTTGTTCTGCTGTAGATTTAGAACCTGGGTCTGATTTTTGCTTTGCCTGAAAAACCAAATCTCCCCTTCTGTATGGGTTTCATTGCCTTATTGAAGAGCAGCTCAGAGTTTTATGATGAATTATGTGTGGTCCTTGCTCGGGTCTAAAGAAAAGCGCAGAAACTGATATTTCATCATGCTCCAGATTTTTCTGGCCTCAGTCTGTTGGTAGGTTGACCAAGGTGAGAACAGCACTGCCATGGATAACTGGCATTCCAGGGTTCAGAGACTGGTTTTCAGTATTACCCTGTACCCATTTTTAAGATACAGAGCATGTGTGTGTCCTTCTATATCTTAAAAATGGATACAGAGCAACACAATGCAAGGAAGATGCCTGTCTGCCAGTAACCTCCCTCAGCTGTCTGCTGGGTTTAGTGCATCAGAGGTAAACGAAAGAAAATTTGACCCTGACTTCCTTGCTGTCACATGTAAAGCAACCGTGCAGGAAGCTCGCGTAGGCTAAGAAGTCATGAATTTCCACCGTGGTGATAACGAAGGTGGAGAAGCAACCATCGTGAAGAAGCTGTGCAAGGCAGTGCAGCAAACGACCGTTTGTGACTAGAGCACGGATTAAAGCAAAGGAAACAAACAATGAGCAGGTCTTTTATTCCAGATCAGACATTTCAGCAAATATTACAGCTTAACTTCAAAACAAACCTTGCAACTAATGAGGTGATAGCCGTGCATATTAATAAACCCAAAGCTGTAGTCATAGTCATCACACCCACATCAAACATAAACATAAGATTAACACCTACACCACTTCTTTGGAAGATGTGAGAATGTCCCAATGATAAGTGTGCTCTTTTCCCCAGAGGATAAGAAGTAGAAATGGAAGGGTAATGAGAAATTAACTTAGATTTAAAACAGAATTAGCAATTAAACAAGTCTAATCATGTACAAAGTCAAAGTTTGTATAAAGACAAACCAAAATCTGTTAAGTTCAAGAATAAGTATAGACCGTATGCATTTTATCTGGGATGTTTTTCTCTGTTCACACCTCCTTATTAAAGGAAGTGTATGAAATAAATGTTACCCGCTTGTGTTTAATTGTACTGCTCCGTTTTTGTGCGCACAACTGTACCGGGGGCCCGTGTATATTCCGCTGTTTGGGGACCGGGGTTCCTGGCTCAGTTTTAAATTAGTGTCGGTGGTTTTGAAAGTGTTTTCTGGTTTGTGGTCTGCGGGGTTGAGCTAGCTGGAGCAGAGGGGTGCCGGTTGGTAGGGACGGGCATGTGTGCCATATGGACGACAAGCGTTCCCGTCCGCTCAGCGGGAACCATGGGATTGCACCAAGGATGAGCAGGGCAGTATGTTTGGCTTTCCCCCCTGCTGTTGGAGCTTTGTGAGAATTAATCAGTGTTAGTGCCCTGTGTGGTGAAGCACAGGCAAATACACTGGGGCTTGCCTGGGTGCATGTACCTAGACACCTGCGTTGATGTAGGGACAGCTATCCACATTCCTGCGCGCTCCTGGGCCACTCAGCTTTATTTTTAAAAGAAACAGTCCTGGCCTCTGCAAAAAGTATGCTGACGAGGTCGTGATGGCAAGAAAATATTTTCATTTCATTTCCATCCAGCAGTTTCACTTTGTTGACAGTAATGTTCTGTGAGCTGCCTGCAGCTAAAACTGTGCTTTTGTATCTCCTCTCTCCCTTGAACCTGGCGTGTTGCGGTTTTCTATTTTTGAAAGACAGAAGAAGTCAAGAGACAGCTTTTAAGAATCTGGTGGTTTGTTGGTTTTGTTTTGGTTTTTTTTTTTCTCCACAATCATGAATCCGTTTGCTTTTCAATAAAACAAGATGACTGAAAAGTTTGATGTTCAAAAAGCTGAACCTCTGACTATTCTGTTTACTGGTAAGTAAGAGCTTGGAGGTCCCATTTATTTGCAGAGAGGTGAAAGGACTTAGGCAGATATATCATAAAGAGGACTCGTTCTTCCTCCATAATGATGCTTCATAGAAATCATTTGTATTAAGCAAGCACTGGTAATGGGAGCATAATGACCCCTTTTGGCTCTTGTTTAAATTCTTTCACTTCTAAACAGTAATATTAATCACAAGCAGATGGTGCAGAACATTATTTATGCACGTTTGTTTTCCAAAACCAAAAAATGTTTAACCCATTAACTGAAGCGGTTTATGAAACAAAAAGGCTAATTTACTGATCGGATTATTTTTCTCTGCAGTTTCAATATGAGATATTTTGTGAAGGGACATTTTCATAGAATCACAGAATGGTTTGGGTTCGAAGGGACCTGAAAGATCATCTAGTTCCAACCCCCCTGCCATGGGCAGGGACACCTTCCACTAGACCAGGTTGCTCCAAGCCTCATCCAGCCTGACCTTGGACACTCCCAGGGATGGGGCATCCACAGCTTCTCTGGGCAACCTGTCCCAGTGCCTCCCCACCCTCTCTGGGAAGAATTCCTTCCTGATATCTAATCTGAACCTCCGCACTTTCAGTTTAAACCCATTACCCCTTGTCCTGTCACTACAGGCCCTTGTAAAAAGTCCCCCCCAGCTTCCTTATAGCCCCTTCAGGCACTGGAAGGTTCTATAAGGTCTCCCCAGAGCCTTCTCTTCTCCAGGCTGAACAAGCTCAATTTTTGTCTAGGATTGTGACGTCTTTTTTTTTCTTAAGGAAATCAACGCAACTGTTGGAATTCAGAGCAAATATTTGCTGAAATCCTGCTTTTGTGCTGCTATTAAAATTCTGCTGTGTGGCCAGGAGGTATTTCTTTGTAGCAGTGCTTGTTTGGCTGCAGCTTGCTCAGGAGACTCCCCAGCCTGCTTCCCTTCCTTACTGGGCTGATCCCCAGTTCCTTGCTTTCTTTTAGGATTTATTTTTTTCTTTAGTTCTGATTGTGGGAGGATTTTAAGACCAAGCAATGCTTAATGAATGACAAATAGGGGTTTTTTTAATTATATTGACTTACTGTCACATCCCACATGGGAGATGGGGTCTGCAGATCCCCAGTGACACAAGGTGATGGCTGGACGGAGCCTTGACTCTTCCTTGGTGGGAGCTGGGCGGTCCTGGTGTAACGGGGGATAAATGTGGCAGCGTTTAGAATCATAGAATCACAGAATGGTTTGGGTTGGAAGGGACCTTAAAGATCATCTAGTTCCAACCCCCCTGCCATGGGCAGGGACACCTTGCACTAGACCAGGTTGCTCCAAGCCTCATCCAGCCTGGCCTTGGACACTTCCAGGGATGGGGCATCCAGTTTCCTCTGCTGTGTTGTGTTAAGGGAATGAGGACTTCCAGGCTGCACTTGGAAGTGTCCTGCCTCTTCCTCTGAACTCATGAACTCACTGGGACAGGTTGCCTGCAGAAGCTGTGGCTGCCCCATCCCTGGGAGTGTCCAAGGCCAGGCTGGATGAGGCTTGGAGCAACCTGGGCTATGGAAGGTGTCCCTGCCCGTGGCAGGGGGTGGGGCTGGGTGGGCTCTAAGGTCCCTTCCCACCCAAATCGTTCTGTGACTCTGACATGTACATGTTTGAGTCCTTATAGAAGGAAAATTTGGCTATGTGCATGTTGCCTCATCACCACTTGCCATGAGGTCATGGTGTTCATGCATGAAGCTTCCTTCTGCCTTACCAGACTCTTCACCTGGAGTGAAAGCATTTTTGTTCTGTTAAAAAACAGTGCCATTGATCCAGTTCTGATCCCACAAACCTATTTCCAGCCATACTTCACCAAAATGCTTCTCTTGTCCGTGTTGGTTTTCATTATTGTTGTCGCATCCTTTACAGTTATAAAAGCAAGAGCCTCTCGTTCTACTGCAGGTTTCTTTTAAAAGTGCTGGGGCTGTAAACAGCTGGATTGGTGGTGCAGGATGTCCGTGTTTTCTCTGGGTGTGATTGCATCTGCTGTTTAGTTCATTACAATTCAGCACGAGCCTCGTAACGAGGTAGCTCTATTGACTGCTGCCATATTTTTAGAAAGAAGGTTAAACAGGATTACTGCACAACTTACTGTTCTTCTTGGGATTCAGGGTAGAGCCTGCTGAGGTACTCGGCGTGTCTTCTTAGATTTAGCAAAGTCACTCGACAGCGGAGAGGACCACAGAGGACCGTGCTGCGTAGTGGGTTGCAAGTATGCTAAGGTTTTGGTTAGAAAACATACTCTGAAAACGTTGTTGGGAAGCGTATGGGAGATTTTGGTGACTGCGTGGATCGCTCTGTAGCGGGGTTTTGTCTCATCACCTGAGGAATAGGTGAAAATCCATCAGCAAAGCTGCTGACAGATTGAATTCCTGATGATGAAAACCGCAGTACGCAGGCTGAGTCTGTCGATGCTCTGACATGAGGGAGACACTCGTGACTGGTTTTGCATGTGGCTGGGGGGGGATATTGCAGAACGTATCGGCGCTATTGATACCTAACTCAAAACACACAGATCCACTTAAGCTATATAACGTACTATTGAATGCTCCCCTTTTTTTGAACTGGATTTTTAGCTCAAATATAGGAAAGCATTTAATCAGCTTGTTAATTGAGGTTATACGTTCCTACATTACAGAGACAAATTAAGCAAGCTACTGTGGTACCAGAAAACATCTGCTAAAGAAAGGCAAACTTAATGATAAACTAAATTAGGTTCTTTTCTAGTTGGGTTTCATCCATCTGCACCCAACTAGTGTTCACTTTTAAAGAAGGCAGAGACACAAGCTATTGCTTTTAATCCATTTTGACAGAAGAAAGCAGTGATTAGGCAAAGCCACTGTACTCTAATCTTCCCAAGTTTAAGCCAGGCCATAACGTGCACATTATGCTTTCCGACTGGCATCCCTGGAACAGAAAGATGCTCAGTGTTTCCTGCGCTATGCTCAGGCTGGATGTTCAGCGGTTTATTCACACGTCGACTTTACAGAATGCAACAGAACCGTACCAACTTCTTTCGACATCGCGGGGGTCAGCATTAAGATCTTTGCACTGACAATCTGGCTTTACGGTGCATGTTGATGTTTTATTTGCTGGAGCAGGATTAGTAATTGTTGTCAGACATTGCTGGCAGTTAATCTCTGCAAAAGCTCTGAAACCAGGAGATCGGAGCTGTTTTATGCAGTAGAAGCCGTGGAGGTGGAAGCCAGGAGCTGTCAATAATGGTGTGCACAAGAGCAAAGCTGCGCTCTGTCTGTCCTTGTAGCAGAAGGAGGCTCGAATGTGCTTGGATGTTTGTGTTTTTCCTGTTCTATGGACAGGTGTTTATATGGGATGCTTTGTAATTTTTATAGACTTAAAGAGTTTGTTCCCTCTCTGTCCCTTTCACCTCGTGCTGTAAGCTGCAGATCCCTTTTTGCAGACCTGCTCCAGCCTACGCTCCAGGCAGTTCTTTAATCCTGTGTTTATGCCGTTGATTAATCCCTGTCTAAATGTAGTGCTTCCACTTGTCCCTGTTGTTCTGTTTTTTCAGTCTGATTTTCCCATTTGTCATGCTACTTGGAATTCTAGGTCCTATCCTTCAGTGCACTTGCTGCCCCTCCCAGGTTGGTGTCATCTGTGGATTTGGACTCAATGATCTTAAGGGTCTTGTCCAACCTGAATGATTCTCTGATTTAGTAACGGGGATTATTAGTATTGGAGAGGTACAGGTACAGTGTCGTCTGTGCTACTGACTGTTACAAACCAGAGATTGCATTTGAAAGACATCCTTGAAATATTTCCTGTTAAAATCCATCACGCCCATATTCATAATGGTCTCTATGTATCTGATGCCGTCCAGGATAATGTAGATTAAATCGGGTTTTGTTCCCTCAACAGATGTGAAGCCGTCTAATATGTTGGTGAACACGCGAGGCCAGGTGAAGCTCTGTGACTTTGGGGTTAGCACGCAGGTAATTCCCCTTTTAGATAGCTGCCCGCTCTCTTTCTAATGTCAAAATCACCTGGCTGCCAGACAAGCAGCCCCACGGCAAGCTCCTCTCAGCTGGGAGAGCCCTATTCATTTTTAATCTCTGGGCGACTTTTCTTCATCTGAATATGATTGTTCATTGTTTAATGACAGTAAAAACTGCTGATATTGTAATTACTACTTACGAATAGCAAACTTCATTGATATGCAGCTTTGATATGAATGTGTTTTGGCCAGACAAAAGGGAGGGCAGAACGAGAGATGTGTCTGGGGATCCCAACTGGCCCACAATAAAAATTAATATTGGGAGTAACAATAGTGGTGGGCTTTTACAATGTGCAGCACAAATTTTAATTAATTTCCATTTTGGGCCTCCCTGGAGAACTTCTCTGATAGTGACCCATGAGCTTGCTGTGATGTTGATTTGAATTTCAGCACCTTTACTCTCAGCCAAACATGAGGACCAAAGAGAAGGTCAGCCTTGTATTATAAGTTGTCAGAGCCTGTTGTCCCTCCAGCGTATTTAGTGCTCGTTGCATTCAAGTGATGAATGTGGCTTTATTCGCATCTTGAGCCAGCTGACTGAAAAATGAGCGCGTTCAATCCTACTTCAAATTGACTTTTTATATCAGACTGGTTTGGGGTACTAAAGCGATAAGCATCCTGTTTAACAGAATTGTTTAAGGTTATCTGCCATAAACTGTAATGCAGTGCTTGTTTAAATTGGAACTCTCATTCCGAACAAAAGAGAGATTTAATCATTTTTAATGCCTTTGCAGATAAATTTGTTCCCTTTTACATAATTTTTAGTTGATTTATAGGAATGATGATTGTAGGTTAAATGAGGAATAATTGCCCATTTTATTTCCACATTATCTTTATATTGTTCTAACAGACTGTTTTGTCTGATAGCTGGTGAATTCTATAGCCAAGACGTATGTCGGAACAAACGCTTACATGGCGGTAAGTGGATTTATGCAGGAATAACACTTAAATAGAAGTATTTGTTCACAGTCTTGTTCTGTGTAACGCAGGATGTGTTCTAAATCAGTTCTCAAACTTCATCTCTCCCTGTCCCCAGCATAAGCTGTGGCTTGGCTGTGTGTGCCACGAAACAACTCCTTTTCACCGTCTGGCCCACCCACTCCCCTACCAGCTCTGCGACAGCGGCGCTTCTTGCTGATAGGGAAGAGTAATATTGGGAAAGTGTTCCTTTCACGTTTTTTAGTTGCCTGTACTGCTTTGCAATAATTGGGAACAAAGAACAGCACTGGTTCAGCCGTTAAAAAATGATGCTTGCGGCTCTTCGCACTGACAGTCCGGTGCCGTCCGCAGTTCGGGAACCGCTGCTCCCAGCCTGCGGTTTAGCCAAGCGTTTAGCCCCGTGCAGATGTCTCATGGACTTCTCGATACCTAAACACTCTTGTGGGTATTTCCCGTGTGGAGCTGCCATGGAAATTAGAAGCTAAAAATATTTGGACTAATAATATTAGGGCATTATTTCACTCTTAATTGCATGGTGTGTAATGCTCATAGCATACATACCAAGTCATCAGTGCCTGTCACTTCTCTGTGTAAGCTTGGGTGAGAATGCTTGTGACGGTGAGACAAATTTTGCCCTATTCCTGTACGTTGAAGCATAAATTCCCAGCATTTTTAGGTCAAAGTAACGCAGTGCTAAAGGTGTGTCATTTGGGGGAACGCTGCTGCTCTTGGCTAGGATGGGAGGTTTGGGGTTAGCGGTTCCGGCTGACCTGGCAACCGGCGCGCGGTGTTCGTGTCGGTGAGATTAATCTGGTGACAAGAGCCAGTCTGAAAGGAAACTACAAAAGTTAGCGTGGATTTTCCATTAGATCCATTTGAATAATCTTAGTTCTCCATTTAGCAGATGTCAAAACTTACATGCTTCGGTTTAGATCGGTGTATTAACTGCTGTCTTTTACTTTTGGCCATTAAAATTCTTTTACCAACTACTGATTAATGAGGAAAAAATGAGTGTTCAGCTTGGTTTAAAAAAAAAAAAATGTGAACAATACAAAGTGGTTGATACTTGTATTTTTCAAACCTCAGAAAAGAGGAGAGAGAAATCCATGACCTTTAATCGCTTTCAGGTATTTTTTCTTACTTTCTTGCGAGAAGAAAGCAGACCAGGGTGTCCATTTATTTGCTAAGTGCTTTTCTAGTCAAGGTGTACTCATTATGTTGTTTGTGAAACACTCGTGCCACCATCCTAGAAAGGCTTGGGCTGTCCTGTGTCATCAGAATATCATGTGCAGAAAAATGTTTAAAAAAAAGAAGAAAAGAGAGAAAAAAATTCCTGTCTCGGGTATTATGGCTTTCGCTAGCAAGCTGGCTGATTTCTATGCCTCCCTTTTCTAAAAGAACTGGAATATAGCCATCCAGACAAATATAAACACCTTCAAATTAACCAACTTTTCTAACTCAGCTGTTACTCTTAGGGTGGGCTTAAATTGTATTGTGTTTTTAGTGTGCAAATCAAGATTGCTGTTCTTTCCCAGGTGTGCATTCAATAAATTACTTTTTCCTTACTGTTTATGGATGAACATGATGCATCCATCTATTAATTGAAAAAGGGAGGTTTAAGCTAAAACGGACTTGATCTGATTTCTTGTGTTAAAATTGTTTTGCTTGCTGAATGAGCCATTTGTCGTCATCAAATTTATAGTCTAGTCATCAAAAAATAATGAAGGTCATAAGCTTGGGTTCGCCTGCCTTCTTGGCAGACCGTGAGTGAATTTAAAACCATTAATAAAATTGAGTTTCCGTTTCAAATACATGAGCAAAAAGGCTTTTTGATTGAGAAATTAAAATTTCCAACAAAAACACGCTTTTTAGAAAATCATTTTATCACCACTTTCTACCGAAAAATGTTTTGCATGACAAAAGTAACCAGTTGCAGACGTTTTTAAGAGAGAATGTTTTTGAGCTGTCTGTCCTTAGGACGGTCTCTGTGTTGCACTTTACCTTGTGCACGTGTTTCTCTTATTTTCACCCTCCCCGCACTCTCAAATTCACGCGAAGATTTGTTGAAACGTGCAAATTATTTACTTGCCTCTGTCTCCTGCGAATACCTAACTCCTGAATACCAGTTGCCGTCTCAAACTTGAGCTCTTTCAGCGGAAGAATAACCAATTGAATATTGCTCAGTGTGAATTATGCATCTGATTTGGTGGCTCGGGAAGGGCCGGGGTCTCACCTGCGCTGCAAAGCTCTGCGAGCATCCTCACCTTGCCACAGGTGCCGTGTCTGCCGGCAACAAAACACGCCTGGCCGGGGTAGCCGATGCCACGTTGTGTTATCGGGGCGGACGTGTCGGCGTGCGGTTTTGGCTGCGTGTCTGCATCTGTGAGGATCTTGGTTAGTGTGAAAGGATGCGTAAAACTCATCCCTCTGTACGATGCTGTTGCAAACATTTCTAAGGCATGCCGCTAGACTAACTGTACTTAATGAAGGCTGGCCGTAATTAACTTCAAAATAATAATTTTTTGCATCACTGTTCAGCTCAAAATAAATGAGGCTCAGTCCTAAAGATTTTGTTCCAGTTACATCTGACTTTTTTTAGGCTAGGGCGGTTGTGGAAGGCTATCTTAAAGACAACGTGGGCAGCGCTGTGTTTTTTACTTAACATTCACACTGCGATAAAAGCTCTTGACCTGGGATTAGCAGTGGAGAGTAAACATCCAAAACCACATTGGACTGGCACTAATTTGGGAGTTTGTTTTCTAAAAAAGGTCTCTGGATTATTAAAGACTAAAAATACAGCCAGTGCTTCGTAGGTGGTTGGGCTAGACAGGTGCATTAACAGCACAGTGGGGAGAGAAGTCTCATGGAGCCTTTTATTGTTACATTTCATGCTGTACTTGACCTTGGAAATGCTTAAATTGTAGCTTTCAAGTAAAAAACTAGCAGTTATATTTTACAGCACTCTATTTCATGAGGCATTAAACTTGCTATTAATAGTTTTGAGTGAAGTCGTCTTTTCTATAGGTCAAAAATGAAATTAAAAAAGTATATAAAATAAAATTGCTGGCATGTGACTTCATTGATTCTTTTGGCTTCAGTAGCTTTGCTTTTTAAACCATAGTTACTCCCCAACCCCTTGACTCAACATTAAGAGTCTGTTTTCCTAACGCCCCTCGCTGCCCTGCCTGGGCTTACCACTGGGCTCCAGAACCTGACCTTGCGCCTCACGCCTGCAAGCCCTCGGCTTTTTCGCGGGATAAGCCAGCCCAAACGCAAGGGCCGAGGCCAGCTTTTCGAGGTGCACAGCCACAAGCCGGAGCGTAACTGAGATGTTCGCTCTTGTGAAGAGGCAAAAATAAATCAGCAGGTCACGTTTGGAGAGTGGGCTTGCCCTCGGCCCGCTCAGCTGGTGAGCTTTAAGCGTCCTTGCGTTTTCTTGGTTGCCCTGGGCTAGCTGGTGTGGGAGAAGTCCGTATGTTTGTTTGCTAGGCTCATGAAGATGTTTCTTTTCCTCTCTTTGCAGCCTGAGCGGATTTCGGGGGAACAGTATGGAATTCATTCGGACGTTTGGAGTCTAGGGATTTCCTTCATGGAGGTACGCAAAGATCGTTTTCACGCGCACGTGGCCAGAATCAAATTAAGTCCAACACTTTAATACAGTCTTTTCACAGTCTTTTGTATACTCATGCTTTTAACTACTTCTAAATTCCTTGGCTGTATTTAGAATGGGTTGTTCTTTCTGCATTCAGTTGGGTCAGGTAGAAAGAGCCTCTGTACAAACCCTGCAACAGTCATAAAACTTCTAATAAAACTCCGTGTGAGGGGAAGAAGTCGAGCCTGTAGCAGGCTCTGCATCCTTTCCTCACCTCTGGGGTTGAGGGTGATGGGATTTCTCTGTTGCATCTTCGCAGGCCTGGATGGAGTGGGCTATGATTGGGGGTAAAATAGTACTGTGCAGATTCAGGGTTTGAGCTAGTTAATGGCCTCGCAAAATCTTTGCAGAATTACTTGCTCGATGGTTTGAGTCTCTCCCCATGTGATTAAATAAGGTGTTTGGATTAAGTGTTCGCGAGGGCTTTTAGAAAGGTTTCTTCCAAACATTGTTTAGAGCGGGAGAAAGTGTTCTCAGAATGAAGCGGTTCGAAGAGAAATGTCCCAAATGCAGTCATTAGGAGACGCCTCGCTTTCGGCAGGTGTCGTCAGAACACTGCCGGTTTTGATTGAGAAAAGTGGGTTTTTTCAGCTTAGGGTTCATCAGATGATTTAAAACCATGAATTTCAGTGACTTGATAAAAACGGATTGTTGTTGTCGTGGTTTAACTCCG